CAAAATAGAAGGGGGTAGAGAAGGAGGAGAAAAAAGATAACTCCCTCCAGAAGGAACCAAAAAGTCACTATTCAGTTGCAGATTCGATGTGAATTCCAGGATGTGTCAAGCAGTCCTAGGCTTACCAGTTTCGAAGACCTGTATTCAAAGGTGTTCACTCACAGCAAATTATAGGATTGTAACCATAAAGCTCTGTCCTATAACGATGCAATTATATTATTTCCATGTTGTGTCCAGCTAATCTGATTTAGTTCGATATGGACACTTGAAAGAACAAAGTCCATTCGGAGTGAGGCTTATGCTTTTTAGTACACTGACGCTGTCCCCAAGTTAGGTATGTGGGGGATTCAGTGCCTTTAAATCCCTTATTGAACTATTTATCCCCAACCCAGAAAAAACCACCAAAGCAAACCACCGCCTTCCCACTCTCTGTAGTCCAGAGTAAACTCCAGAAACTTCAATCCCTTCTTTTCGCTTTTCCCCAGCCTAACGTCTTCCAAATGCAATAGAACAGCAACCACAGATATGGTAGGATGGCCTTCAACCACGTATGCTAAAACATCTACTAAATGCAGCCCCAAAACATCTGTACCTAAGCTGTAGCTTTGTTCTCCATCTACGCAACACAAGGAAGGCCTCTTTCCCCCTCTTACTTCAACAACAATTTAAGTACATTGTTCACTAGGGATGTGCAAAACACACCAATTCCAGATCGTTCTGTTCCCAGATTGGTGAGTTTTGCACATTGCAATTGTTTGCTCCATTTGCTAGGACCCACCAAAGCACAAATAAAGCAAGATGAGAATTGGATCTAGTCTACAGGCAACCAGCTGGCCACCCTTGAAATATTAATTTATTTACTTATTATATTTCTAATCTATCCAATACCCAGAGTTCTCAGAGCAGATTACAAAGTTACTAGAATCATTAAAAGTTGTTGGAAACATCTGAAAAAAGAGAAAAAGATTAAAACAATGAAACCAATACAATACAATCAGTCAAAAGGCCAGGAAGGAGACTAAGCTGAAGTCTAGAATTCCAATGAAAAAAATCAGAAAAAGTCTGATTTATTATTATTATTATTTTTGGCCATCATCGACTAACGTGACTCTTCTACCATATTCCAGTGTCGAGCAAGCACTGAACAGTACGTTCGATTCAAAACCATTAAAATGCCTAGGAAGGAAAGGAACCTTTTGGTTTAGTGCCAGAAAGAAAGGAATGGCTTTGCCACCTAGTTTATTGCTCATTTTTAATCTGTCTTTTCTACTTACTAAAATTCTGTATTTTTGGTTTTCAAAATTTTGTTAGCCACTGGGAGCACTCCCTAGAGTAGGAGAACATATAGCAAGCAAGCAAGCAAGCAAGCAAGCAAGCAAGCAAGCAAGCAAGCAAATAAATAAATAAATAAATAAATAAATAAACAAACGCCACCCTGAGTTGTGCATTCCCCAAGCAGGGGTCCATAACTGAAGAGGCCCTGTTTCTCCAGCCACCTCCAAGTTCCCCTGACACGTTCATCAGGCAGAAGGTATTCCTTGAGATAATCTAGCCTCAGCCTCCTTCAGCTCTAACCCAGTGTCTCTCGACCTTGGCAACTTGAAGATGTGTGGACTTCAGTTCCCAGAATTCCCCAGCCAGCATGGCTGGCTGGGGAATTCTGGGAGTTGAAGTCCACGCATCTTCAAGCTGCCCGGGTTGAGAAGCCCTGCTCTAGCCATTAGAACCAAGCCTTTCAACTGGGCCCCAGAAACACACAGGCAATATTATTTGTTCTTAAAATATGGGCTACACCAGAGAATGTAGAGAGTTAATGTTCTACTTCACTTTCTCCATAACCACCCACATGTACGTCTCCCTCCCTCTCACAGCCTCATCCTGGAAATGGTGAGGGGCTCTTGACAAACGCCTATAAAATCAAGAGGAAAGGGGGAGAAAATTGGGATCTAACATATCCCTGTCAAACTCACACAGCCGGCTGCCTCTCACATAGACCATTTGGCAAACCCTGGTTCTCCAGGAGACCAGATGCTCGCGCTGCTCCCGTCCAGCAGCATCAGGGATATGAGGATTTGGGGAGAAATTAACAGAGTCATCAAAAATTGAATAAAAGATGTTAAGGAGTTGTTCCTTCCCTGTAAACATCAAACGGTTCGGCGCACGACGCGAGCTTTGAGAACGGTTCCCAAAAAAAAAAAATAAAGCTGAGCCAACATTGGAGGGCTACAGATATGAAAGAACAGGATCAAAAAGAGCATTATATCTATATATGCTTTTCAAAAAGGAGAGGTAAACAAAGATTTTCTGGGGAAGGACTGGCCAGCTTCAAAGAACCCAATCCAAAGTATCCTGTATTCATGGCTGAAGGGGAAAAAAATTACCTCAGCAAGTTTCAAATGTATAGAGCAGGTATAAATCTACCTTCGGAGACAGCTGTTTCTGACCATAGTGAGATTTGAAGAACATCTATCTGCTAGTCTCCAAACCTTACTAAGTGATATCTTCTACCTGTAATTTTAAAAATACAGGTTGCCCTTCAAAAGAAATGTTTTCCCAGCCTGCCTTAAAAACTGTTTCCAATCACAGTCTAAAAGAAAAGAAATTAAAGTGGAAAACAGCAGCTGAAAATACAGATGTGCAAAAAGTCATAAGTTTGAGGGGGCCCAAAGGTCAAGGGGAACGTTGCCATGAAGCTGCGCATTTGC